GCTCTAACGCAAAATATTTCAATTTTACCACAGTACACATATGTCCACCAGGTAATGATAAATGTTTCACCTTATAATGTATAAATTTATGATTTGGACATCCAACAATACTGACCTAATCTCATGCAGCCTACTGTTGGTTATGCTTGTCACAAGCAATTTTGTTTTGCCTGGCTTCTTTTTGCTTTTGCTTATTCTATGTGCAGTAGTACTGTAGTTATTTTCCTCAGCAAGTTATGCATGATTGACTTTTTATATTTTGGGTATTTAAGAATGCGTATTAGTAATTGTTGTGCACTTGTTCATGTTATCCTTAAATTGTTGCTGCCTCTGGTTGTCATGAGTATGCTTATATTTTGCAAGTACAGTATGTCTTTTTAATTTCATGATGTTCATGTTCTCTGTAAATGGTTCTTACATTTGCTAACTAAACTGATAAAAATATGTAACAAGTAAATATAATAGTTAGACAATAAAGGTAGCATTGTCATGATCGTAATGACGGTTAACCTGTTAAACTAATGATCCATATTACGCTTACACGTCCACAAAACCTTCTGAGTCTCCCAGTGGGAATGTCCTCCATCCCCCCCCCCCTGTTTCTTTGATGACGTCAAGATGTATGTTTGTTGACGGAAGTTTGTAAATTCTTTCTGCTACCGAGAACTTGTAAACTTTTTTTTTTACCCATGATTAGCAGAGACTGATAATCATAGTGAAATTGTGATAGGGATGTTAACTGAGGAATGAGTTGATATTCCAGGAAAGGAAACTTTAAAATCTGCTCCACGGGTGTTTCAGCAAGACGTTGCGTGTTGGTACCTGTTGCCACCCAACCTTTTGTTATCAATTTAATTCTAGCTTTTGATAGCTCAGTCAGAGCATTGTTTGTAAAGATAATAGTAGTCTCAGTTTCAAACGTCAGAGTGTTACAGTAACGTAATTCAGTGAAATGGTTGAGTAGGTGGAATCTGTGACTTTAGGGGTGGGGGGGTGTGGAAGGCGGCGGTTGGTTTTTCGAATCAGTGAGCCGCCACGCTTCCTTCCATCAGGTAGGTCACTCCACCTTCTCCGTGTTGTATTCGCCATTTTTAAGTGATTTGACCTAACTATAGTTTGTTTGTAAAAGTGTTAAAGTAACGTAGTTGATGCGCTTTGAGTGAAGTATTTTATGTCCTTAGTTAATGTCCCTTTGAAACGTTGAGGTTCGTTATACACCGTCAGTGAGCCGCCACGCTTCCCTCCCACAGGTCCCTATCGTAGGACGTGTCTGTAGTGTGGATGACGCATCCACTAGTCTTGGGAGATGTCTGAGGTCCAGTGGAGTCGGGTGTCCCCGTGAACCCCGACCGTCAGAAGCTCCACTACCACCCATGGACCCCATAAGGGGTAGTATTCCCCTAACGCCCTGCCCCTGTGGTGAACCCGGATCTTCAAGCCGCCAAACTTACTGCCAGCCCCATCATTGGTGGATGAGTACAGTACATAACTCGGTAGGGCTGTTGGTGTGGTGGGGTTAGTCCACCTGAATTATCGGAGTTTGTTGGAAGGTGTCACTTGGTGATGAGTAGGCTTAGGATAATTATGCATTTGCATATGTGCATATGCAAATGCATATTTTAACTATTTTTGAGCTTAAGTGCATATTTGTAACTTCTTTTCATGCTGGTACTGTGCCACTTCCTCCTTCAGTAGTGACTAGATGGGGCACCTGGATCGAGGCAGCATTGTACTATGCTGACAATTTTGAAAATGTCAAGTGTGTAGTTGAATCATTTGATCCCACAGCATCTGTACATATGAAGGAGGCACAAAATGTACTCAAGAAGGATGGCTTGCGGGAGGATCTAATTTTCATCAGAGCCTACTTAGCATGTATTTCCTCTGCAATCCTCAAGTTGGAGAAAAAATGACTAACTCTAAAGAGCAGCATGGATGTAGTACAAGTTGTTGTTGATTCTTTGAGTCACCTTGAGAAGAAGGATTGCTTTGAAAAAATCAGCCAGGTTCTTGCTAAAAACAAAGGTTACAGCCGACTGAAGAAAATGAGTGAGATATTGCAAAGCAATTCTTCTCTTGATGCTACCACTCAAGGAGAACTTGAGCTGTCAGACATAGTTAAGTTACAGTATGCTCCTATCGTTTCGTGCGATGTTGAACGAGTGTTTTCACAGTACAAATGCATTCTTGCTGACAACAGGCGAAAGTTTGTGTTTGAAAATCTACTCCACCATGTTGTAATCAAATGCAATTCACTTTCATAGACAGCTTGGGAGTTATTTAGGAATTGATTTTGAACAAGGTTAGGTTACATACCTTAAAAGTAGCAAATTCCTACATTCAGTTAATATAAGGAAATGTATTGGTACTTCTTACACGAGAAATGTTTATATTTTTCTTTACATACCTTAAAAGTAGCAAATTCCTACAATCCGTTAATATAAAAATGTATTGGTGCTTCTTACACGAGAAAGTGTTTATATATTTTCTTTACATACCTTAAAAGTAGCAAATTCCTACATTCAGTTAATATAAGGAAATGTATTGGTGTTTTTCTGTATTATCAAGTAAATTATTTTGTCAGTACATTATGTTCTTTAATTTAATCCTTTATGAAAAGGTCTCACTCAGCCACAGCTTTTGTGGGAAAGTAAACTCTTTGGGGTAAAGTGCTGCAAAATAAGATATATTGTTAAATCTAATAAGTTAAAATTGTTAACTTATTACTGCTAATATTAATTTCCTTAGGAATAAGTGCATATTTTACCAGTTTTACTGCATATTTGCATGCATATTTAGCCATTTTTAAGTGCATAATTATCCTAAGCCTAGTGATGAGACTCCCAGGGTGGCCGCTGGAGTATGGCCCCTGGGGTATTGAGTGTTGTACTGGCAGGTGCCACTGGTTTTATTGGTATTAAGGCGCTGTAAGAGTTTTGGTGTGGGTACACCCAGTAGTGATGCAAGTAAATTGAGCCTGAGGGCATGGTAACAGGAGTTCCTGTTTTGGGTGAATACAACGTCTTTTCTGTAACCATTTTTGTGTTTAATAAACATTTAATTTGTATGTGGGTCTATGATTCACCTATAGTATTCACCGTTGTTCTCTCCCTAATACTCGATACTATATTTACATGAACCCATGGGCCTTCCTCTCACGTCACGCTATCAGGTCAGTGTATTACGTAAGTTGTAAGAGTGCCAAGCCCTCCAGGGTGGCAGCTTGTGTTGCGCGTTCTTACAATTGGTGGCCTCAGTGGTCCATGCAGTAAGTAGTAGCAACCGGCGCTCTTACAGCATAGCTATTCAATTTAATGTAATTAATTATTGAAGAACATGTAGCACATTTAAGTAAAGATAAATTATTTTGTAGTCTGTAAGACTATTTATAAATATTGAATAAAATGATTAAAGAACACAATAAAAGTTTATCTTCAATTAATCCTTATATGAATAGAATACCTGTGATATATAATGTGTGTGTGTGTACAAATCAAATCCACTGGCATGGATATTTTGTGATTTAAGAGGAGAATGACGAAGCTTCTAGAAATATTCCTTTGAACATACTCATAAAAAACATATTGTACTTTTTTCTTGCTACTTTGTTTCTGATCGCAGAAGTACATGATTTTTTTTCTGTAGGCTAAAAGGAGAGAGGCATCCCCCAGGATTTATGCTCTTGTATACAATAATAATTATTGTACAAGAAATAAATCTAAAAGAAATTATTGAATCTGATATATACTGTATATCTCGGTTTTTGCAAAATATTAATTTTCTCTCATAGTACACCTGTAAAAATAAAGAAAATCGTTCTCCTTGGGGACGCCTGGCCACTATAAAAAAATAGATGGGCAGACGCGCTTCTTCCTATATACTTTCCTTGGTATGGACGCTACTGAATACTAGAGTAGTGTCCCTTGAGATGTTACTCATGCATGCCCAGTACTTGCCAACAGACGTGACCGATCGCCCAAGCGGCTAACGAGCCGATCATTTGGTGAAGAGGATAAAAGAAAAGGAAAAGTAGCAGACGCGACCGAGCGCCCAAGCGGCTAACGAGCCGATCAGTGGTGAAGAGGATAAAAGTATCACTTAGGTTCCCCCCTTGCCCGTCTGCAGACTGGAACAAGTTACTAGACCACTTCAAAACCAGTTACGGTATTAAGTAATTCCAATCTAAAACAAATACATAATAGATGAAGCTACAGTAAGTTTCTATATTATTAGACCACCGAATGGAGCACTACGGTAGTGATTCCCTAGGATTTAGAATTTTAGATAGTCCAAGCGCAACGTAATGCTTGTTGAATTCTATCAAATAAGCTTTCACCAATAATCCTGTGGACATCCTATTACTGATTAGAGATCAAGCCTAAGCAAAGGAACATCCTATAAATAAGTACCTGTCAGATTTGTCTACTATCCTTGGTCAAGTTACCAACTGTCTCGGAACAAAGGAAACTATTGCTACGCGTAACTGCATAGTTTCTAAACATGGTTATCCAATTGTAAACATCTAAGATAACTTTACTGAATACAATTTATTATAATTATTACTATTACTTAAAACATCCCATGGCAATTATTATTATATTATTATTATTGTTACTTAAAACATCCCGTGGCAAAGAACAAATTCAGTGAGGTGGGGTGCGCGGTGTGTCTGCGCGTGACTGTGTGCGCCTGCGGAGAGACCGAGAGAGCTGGCCCGACTGACTCCACTCACTGACTCACTAGTGTTAAAGGGTGAGGAGGAAGTGCATGTTGTAAATCGGTCCGTGGCAGTTCTCCCTAATATTTTGCTATATAATATTAGTTTTCGGTCCTCGTGGAAGGTGTCTTGTGTACTAACAGAGTTAACTGGTGTTGGGCGATGCTAAGATTGTAATATTTGCTTTATAACGGCCTCAGAAGTTCAGTGAAGTGTGTACGCTAACGATTAAGGAACATCCGTCTTCTGTTTTGATTTAACCTGCGACCATCGTATGTGATTATTTTTTTTTTATTTCTTATATTTAGTTAGTGTACGGAACATGTGGGTAAAAGGTATTGTGTGTGGCCGCTGTTAGGTGGTGGTCTGCTGTCATGGTGTCGAGACTGTTTGGCGGCCACGGCAAGTTTAGGTGGGTGCGGCTTGGGAGAGAACACCTGTGTTAGGAACAATATGCACACAAGAGACAAGGGGTGAAGTTCACATGGGTTAGGAGTGGTTGGCAGAGTACCAGGATCGTAAACGAACATGATTTTTTTGTGATAGTTATGCCAAGTGGTTAGCTTAGTGAAGGCGTTAGTGCCCACTCATACGTGGTAGGATTACTCATATAAATGTTACATTGTGTGGTGACGGGGTATAAAGTCAGGACCGGACGTGGTGCTCGCCCCAGCTACAGTGTCCCATCTCCCATGAGCAGCCCATGAGTGAGGCGGCTGGGAAGGAGTACAATAACAGTGAGCCATCAACTCAGTCACCTGCAGACGCCATGGAGCCTGGCTGGCCACTCTCCCCACGAGCAGTCTTCGCCACCCTTATTGTCTTTTTGGCCCTGGTCTTCCATCCAAGTAAGTTCTGCTTATACATATTACTAGTCATACTCCCAGACCACCCGGTATACGCTGCCCCACCCTCTCTCCATCCTGTCATTGTAAACTTCCTCCATCCCATTTTCACCCTGCCTTTGTATACTGCTTCTCTCTACCACACCAATACTTGCAAGATCATTCAAGATGTAGAGGAAAAGTCTCTCTCTCACGTAACCCCAAGCTCCTATATGCACCTTCGTACCTACCTGCTCATGTTTACACTCGCACACCTACGCGTCTCAACACATACTACATGACCACTCATGCACACTCACCCTGGCACTCCCGCACTCATCTGGGATACGACTGAAAAGTTTAAGCTATCACATCAGTTGGGAATAGTTTTCTGTTATGTCTAGTGGTGGTCGTTCTGGCTGGGTTTTGCATTATTACTAACAGCCCAAGATAAAAATTTAAATGGTGCCACGAAGAGACTTCTGGCTCTCACTTGGCTCACCCATGCCAATATTGTTCTTATTATCCACTGTATCTGTATTTTTCTGGCAAAATAAATTGTTCGTGTCAATTAATTTTCCACTATTTAGGAGACAGATGTTTCACAAAGATATGGATTGAATAAGTTACTTTAGTTGCCTGAGGCCCAGTATAAAATTCTGTCAATTTCGAATACATTTGGGGACCTTAAAACAAACTGCACCTTAGATATTGTTCTCCAGTAGGATTGAAATATTCTTCTCCTCTTTCATGAACTTGACCATTCAAGATGTAAATGGTAATGTATATACTGATACATTTCAAAATCATAGTGTAATCACAATTAGGCCCTTGTCCTGTTTAATTCGCGCGTAATATACTGCACTGACAGACTTACACACACACACACACACACACACACACACACACCAGAGACAGAGGTGTGGTAACGTTTTTGTGTATCCATATACAAACGCATAAACACAGTGGAGGTAACGTACAAATAAATAGGCATAAACCTTAGCCTAAATAAAAAAAATATATAATATGAGCACTCCAGGAGTGACTCACTTTCTTGCTACCTCCACCTGTCTCGCTCTCCACCGCTCCCTCCTTCCCTCCCTCCTCCTCCCCTTCCTACCACTTCAAGCCCCACACATCCTCTTCTACTCCCCGCCCCTGTGTTGCATTATACAGGAGCCTCTTTGCATCAGATGAGATTGTCCTTATGTTGTTTTAAGTACGGCAGTTAAATACTTTCAAACGTGACCTGTTTGTGTGTGCAAAGTTGTCTGAGGAGGTAGACAGGTCGCCGAGGCGGTCAGTATATAAACACTTCTATCTGGCCACACCCCATATAATACGGTGAATAACGACAATTCGGTAGCTGCTATTCACGCAAGGGGTTCAGACTTGTTATCAAGTTGGGAGCCATTACCGCGCACTAAATTTGGTTTTAAAGTTATGTACTGTACATAAGCACTAACACTTTCCTTAAGATAAGAGAGCGGAGTTGAAAATTCCTTAAGATCCGTCAACCTGATATAGTGGGAATAGGATTTGTGGAAGTGTTGTATAAAATAGTCTGATTGATCCGGATGAGTGAGAGTTTAATATCGATGGCCATGACTCATTACCATCCTCCGAGGCAACATGTAAAGGGTGTGGTTATTCTAGAAAGAACCTTCGAGTCTGTCAGGTGAGTGTGCAGGGGGGGATGTTTTGAAGATTTAAAGTGAAGGGAAGAGATACACTAATTGTAGATTGCATCTACAGACCACCAAATTGTAATTTGTTGAACTAATGGGAATTTCAGATCCTTGTTATGGGGGACCTCAATTATGGTGTTATCGACTGGAGCAATAAAATTAGTATACTGAACGACCTTAATAACTACCATTCTTTGTAGAAACTCTTGAGACAATTTTCTGTTCCGACATATTAAAGATTCGACTCGCCAAAACCACTGGTTCTCATCATAACCAACAAGGAGGGTATGGTGGCCATCTCGGAACGTAGCCCCCCCCCCCCTTAAGATTTAATTATTGCAATGGGGACTACAACAGAGTGAGGGAAAAGGCAAGAAATAGTGTCACGGTGACTGGCTTACATGAAAAACATTATGGATGTGGATTCAACTTGGAAAATCATAAAGGAGCAATTGAAATATTGGACGGAGTAATGTATATCCAAGACAAACCCGTTAGTTCAAAACTGACCAGGAAACATTTATACATGAACCTAACCGAACAGGGGGGCTCCACAGACGTTCGCTGTTCTGGGTGTGTACCGTCATGTATGAATATACATAATAAAATGTTAAATATCTCGCTTATGCATAATTAACGCCAGAAATGCCATTGAAGAAAAGTGTCTTAGAGTTGTCCAAATTACCGATTGCAACTAAAAAATTCCCGAGATTCGTATAGTAGCAACAAGTGAAATAATACCTTGTACAGTATACAGGTATACAGTTAAGCATGAATCTAGGGTCCTTTGTTTAGGCTACAAAATTTCGACTGGTTGTACTTTACCGATTCTTAACACTTGGATTTTAAGAAACGACATAAAATTGGCAAGATAAAGGTAAAGTTAGCCTCGAGGGTACGGTGGCCAAGCTGGAAAACCCAGCCCCGGTTGGCACCAATCACCACGTAACGTTGTCTTTCAGGTTTAACTGTTTCTTGGTTCATAAAAAAACCAGGCCAAGGTTAAAATATTACAAGGGTGATTACAAGGGGATGAGGGAGGAGATGAGGGGTATCCACTGGCTTGACTCACTAATATATAAAAATGCAGACACTACGCTGAATATTATAGCCAGTAAAGTGAACCATTTGACCGATAAATATTTACCCAAGACCAAACCCAGTGCCTCCAGGAACACAAGGAGACCGCTACACATGAACCATGTGGTGGTCGACAAAGTTAAGAAGAAAACTTAGAATTTCGAGATGTGGGTCAGGAAAAATGATGAGCAAGACAGGAGGGTGTATGCTAGATCAAGGAACTAAGCAAAGTCAGAGTGTAGAAGGGCTGAAAAAGAGTTCCAAAGGCGGATTGCGAGCGAGGTCAAATCAAAGCCCAAGGCGTTTTACTGCGACGCAACGCCAAAATTAAAAACGCCATTAGGTGCATTGGACCTGAGGCTTAAAGATGGTAGTTATGCAGATTCTGACCAGGACAAAGTGGAGGTGTTGAACATTTTTTCCCCTCGGTGTTCACAAGAGAGGATGCGAACAATCTTCCTATGTTTGAGGACAGGGTTTGTCACAGCACTGACCCACATTGTGTTCTCAGAAGAGAGTATAAGAAATAAACTGTCAATGCTAAAGGTTCATAAGAGTCCCGGCCCTGACATGGTGCATCCCAGAGTGCTGAGTTGTGCAACGAGCTTGCTGAGCCCCTGAAGATCCTGTTCTGTAAATTTCTGGATGAGCAAAAAGGTCCCTGATGATTGGAAAAGGGCATATGTGAGTCCTATCTTCAAGAAGGGCGATCGTTACTCCACGAATAATTATAGAACAGTGAGCATGATCAACATAGTATGTAAAGTGCTTGAGAGTATTATAAGAGATGCCATGATGGAACATCTACTACGAAACAATCTTGTAAATGATTGCTTAACACAATTAAGGTACTGGATGTTTGGACCTAAATTCTTGAACAGGGTGGCATTATCGACAATATACTTGGATGTATTCCTCACGAATTCTCTTGGCGTCATTGATAGCATTCCTGCCTCTATCACGGCAGACACTGAGCAACTGACCCAATCGCCCCGCTACATTCACAGACGATTCATGCTCATTATTAACATAACAGGTGCTACCTGGTACTGTACTCTGGTGGACGTACTTTATCCAAGAGTGTGTTGTACATTTCAGGTGTCATGCGAATGTATCGTTGCATTTCCTGTGTGTCCTCACGCTGCATTTCAGCAAAGATTTGGTTATAAGTACCACACGATTTGTTCCTTAACCAATTTTTCACCCACACAGTCCGTTTTCTTGTTTTTTTCTTCAGTACCAACCAGCGGCCAAAACACACAACAGTGCGGCCGTCCGTCGCCGACTCGTCTGTCTGGGAGCCATGAACCTCTTGCCCCGCAGTCTACCACACACTGACCGGTAACGACGGTGTGGCAGTTCCGTGTAAACAGTCCATTAAGCAGTGGTCAGTACCCTGCTCCGACCCCGTGCTTTTCCACTGATCCGAAGCGTGCTCGACCCCCATACGTGGTAACTGATCGTGTAAAATAGCCCCAAGAGGCTGCATCTTGGTCGTAACAACGGTAAGGAAGCCTATCATCTGTCTCAACGGAGCGAAGAAACTGCATTAATAGAGACTGAATGCGAAAAGGACCTAGGTGTGTATGTTGACAATGAACTGAAGTTCTTGGGCTATTGTGAGAAGGTGAATCAAGTAACTAAACTATTAGGTCTTATAAGTGGGTCGTTCAGATATGTAGACGGTCCGTCCCTCATAACAATTGTCAAGAGTAAGATGCTATCCCCTCCTGGAGTACTGCCGCCCAGTCTGGTCCCCGAGATATGCTAGGGACTGTCAGCTGATTGAAAATGTCTAAAGGAGGGCCACCAGACTGGTTCCTGCACTTCGGCACATCCGCTATCCAGGGAGATTAGAGCGCCTGCAATTGCCTAGCTTATACTACAGGCAGGCAAGGGGTGACCTTATTGAAGTGTGAAAACATCTCGAAGGGCACTACTCGGTCAAGTGCCCATACCTGGAGCTGGCAGACGCCCGCCCTCACAAGGGGTCACAGCTCAAGATTGAAGAAGCCGAACTCCTGGAACAATCTGCCAGAGAATGTTGTGATGGCACCGAGTGTGAGCTGTATCAAGACCAGACTTGACCAACACTGGAGCAGGTTCAGATACATTCAGGTGACAGTGCATGCCCAGTACTTGCCAACAGTGTGTAACAGAGACATGACCGATCGCCCAAGCTGCTGATGAGTCAATCAGTGGCGAAGATGGTAAAAGTAATGAACAGTCAACATTGACAGAAGTAGGTGTACGACT